GAGGATGGAATTACAGCGGAGCTTCTGAAAGCGCGTGGAAAACCGGTACTTGAAGAACTTCAAAAGCTGTTTAATTCCGTCCACAATGGTGGCACTACTCCGGAGGCGTAGAGCAAAAGTGCGGTGGTCTTGTTCTTCAGGAAAGGCGGTAACGCTCTCTTGAAGAACCACGATTTGCGTCTACGTGCTGTTTTCGAGAGTCATTACGAATCGACTCGCACGCAGACTCGACGACTTCCAGCCTCCCGAACAAGCCGGTTTTAGTACCATAGACCACATATATACCCTGCGGCAGATTGTACAGAAGACAGAGGAGTATAATCTGCCACTTTGCCTTGCGTATGTGGACTATGAGAAAGCCTTTGATTCCGTCGAAATTTGGGCGGTGCTACAGTCCATTCAGCGGTGCCAAGTTGGCTATCGGTATGTCGAAGTGCTGAAGTGCTTGTACAGTAGGGCTACGATGGCTATCCGAGTACAGAACCAGAGGACGAAACCTATTTAACTGCAGAGAGGTGTAAGACAGGGCTAAGTTATATCCACGAAACTCTTCACCGCTGCATGGGAAGACGTTTTCAAGCCACTGGACTAGAAAGGATACGGCATTAACATCAATGGCGAGTACACCACTCACCTTAGATTTTCCGACGATATTTTCCTTATTGCAGAATCGCTGGAGGACCTAAGCACTATGCTCAATGACCTCAATAGTCTCCCAACGGATAGGTCTTAAGATGAACATGGACAAAACAAAGATCACATTTAACGTCCATGTCACACCTATGCCGGTAATTGTTTGGCGCACTAAGCTCGAAGTTGTTGACGAGTATGTTTACCTGGGACAAATAGTCCGACTGGGGAAGTCCAACTTCGACCGAGAGGTCAATCGACGGATTCAACTCGGTTGGGCAGCGTTCGGGAAATTACGGCACATTTTCTCGTCAGGTGTACCTCAAAACTTGAAAACGAGACTATACAACTAGTGCGTGTTGTCAGTGATGACCTATGGAACTGAGACGTGGTCCTTCACTGCTGGCCGGATGAGGAAGCTCAAGGTTGCTCAGCGAGCTATGGAGAGGGCTATGCTCAGAGTTTCTCTGCGTGATAAACTTAGAAATGAGGATATCTGCAGTAGAACCAGAGTGACCGACATAGTCCAACGGATGAGTAAGCTGAAGTGGCAGTGGGCCGGCCATATAGCTCGAAGAACCGACAACCGATGGGGAAAAAAGGTTCTCGAGTGGCGGCCTCGTACCGACTGGCGAAGTGTAGGGCGTCTCCCCACTAGATGGAGTGACGACCTAGTAAGACATGCAGGAATTCAATGGATGCAGGTGGCTAAAGACCGTGCTTTGTGGCATCCCTTCTGGGAGACCTATGTTCAGCAGTGGACTTGTGAAGTACTGTGCTGATGATAACTGATGATGTCTTTTACATTGTAAACTGATGCTTACTCTTGGGATGAATTAACTTTCACTATACCTTTTAATCTGCCATTATTGCCAAATTATTGACTTTGGTCTCCGAGTTAGTAGACTTAAAATTCAATTTATAATATTTAATTTTCACATGGTATTAGACACAGAAGAAAACAAACGGTGGGTTTCAATGAAATAAGTTAAACAATAGGATTTTTTTAGTTTGAAATTTAAATTTATATATTTAATATAATAAAAAAAATAAAATAAAAATAAAATAAGCCTTTATTGCTGTTGGTTTAAACTCATTGACAAAAAATATTTAAAAGTTGAAAGGTAAGGAAACAAATTAACTTAACTAACTAAATCATATTCTCGGCATTCGGTTGGTCTCCCCTATTAACAGCTTGTCTTTCGACAAAGGCCTCCTCTAAGGCTTTCCACTTATTTCTGTCCCTTGCTGTACGTAACCATTCTGGTCCTGCTACTTTCTTAAAATCGTCTTCCCATCGCTTTGGCTGTCTTCCTCTACTTCTTCTGTTTTCTCTAGGGTACCATTCAGTTATTATTCTGGTCCATTTCTCTTTCTTTTCTCTCAACATGTGTCCCGTCCAGCGCCATTTCAATTTTCTGCATACTGATTGGACTTTTCCGAATTTTGTCTTTTCTTTTATCCGTTTTAACTTTATTTTATCTTTTCTCCGTACTCCCAATACGCTTCTCTCTATTCCGTTCTGACATATGTTGATTTTATTTTGTTGTTGTTCAGTTAAGGCCCAAGTTTGGCATGCGTATGTCAGACATGGCAGGATACAAGAATTGAAAACTTTTCTTTTTTCCGACATTGGCATCTCTTTATTCTTCATTATTTCACTTAACGACCAGAATTTTTTCCAAGTGTTAGCTATTCTTCTTTCAATTTCTTTCTGCATGTTCTCTGTCGGTGATATTAATTGTCCTAAATAAATATACTCATTTACGTATTCTAATTGCTGATTATTAATTCTGATAATATCTTTTTGTGGAGAATTAGTCATTATTTTCGTTTTTGTTAAATTTATTGTAAGACCTGCATTTGCACTTTCGTCTGATAATTGTTGTAACATTACTTTCAATGTATTCGGGCATTCGGAGAAGAGTATTAAATCGTCAGCGAATCTCAAATGACTCAGTTTCTCTCCGTTCACGTTAAGTCCGAAATGATCCCAACCTAGTCTCATAAAAATCATCTCCAGCACAGCTGAAAATATCTTTGGCGAAATAGGGTCACCTTGACGGACGCCTCTTCCAATTGGGAACTCGTCGCCTGTTATTTCCAATTTTATTTGTGCTGTACTTTTCCCATAAATGTTCTGTAGTATTCGTACGTACTTTCTATGGACGCCTTGTCTCTCTAATGATTCCCATATATAGTGATGTTCCAAAGAATCAAAAGCTTTGTTGAAGTCTACGAAACCCACATAGTATATTTTGTTGTATTCTCTGTATTTCTGAAGTATCTGTCGCAGGACGTGAATATGGTCTATAGTCGAGAAGTGGCTCCTAAATCCAGCTTGCTCCTTTGGCTGATTTTCATCGAGGGTGTTAGTTAGTCTAAATAATATAATTTTTGAAAAGATCTTATATATGTTAGACATTAAGTTTATCGGCCTATAATTGCCAATGTCTATTTTGTCTCCTTTTTTATGTAACAAAACTATTACTGATTTCGTCCAATCTTCTGGAATATTTTCTGTTTTTATTATTTCGTTGAATAAATTGGTTAGTTTGGGGACAATCACTGGCATTGATATTTTAAGAAGTTCATTAGTAATTTGATCAGGCCCGGGTGCTTTTCCTAACTTCTGCGTAATAATAGCTCTTTCTGTTTCTTCTTTTAGAACAGGTGGTAAAGGTTCAGAATCTTGCGTGTCGTCCATCGTAGTCGTAGTGAGTTTTCCATTTTTGCTCTTATAAAGGTCCTTATAATATTCCGTAGCAATATTTAAAATTTCAACTCTTTTGCTAGAACATTTTCCCTGTTTATCCTCCATATTTAGTATCCAATGTTTCTTTAATTCTAACTCTTTAAACGCTTTCTTTATTCCGCCCGTTTTCTTAATATGATATTGAAGAGTGCTTGTCCTTCTTTGCTTTCTGTCTTTTCTTATTTGTTCTTTGATCTTTTTACTTATTTCTGTAATTTCTTTACGTGTCTCTTTATTTTTCGTGTCTTGTAGAAGCAATTTTCTTTCCTTAAGTAATTGAGTCGTTTTGGTGGATAGTATTACTTTATTATTTGTATAGACTTTCCTGACCTCAGTTTTGAGGGTATTTACAAAGTCGCAATATTTCTCCTGGATTGATTTGTTGGATTTTTCTTCTTCTTTTCTTTCTAGAATTTCTTTTAAGTTGTTCATTAGCTCCGCGTTATTTTCAATATTCACATAGGGTACCGATTTAGCTTGCAACCTTCGATTTTTCTTTACATGAGTCCCTCGTAGCGTTGCACGAATCATTTTATGGTCAGAGTTAAAATTTAAATTGTGTATAATTGACATGTCTTTAAAAACTTTTGGTTTATTGGTCATAATATAATCGATTTCATTTCTATGCAGTCCATTTGGGGAAGTCCACGTCCATTTCTTATTCTTTTTCTTTTTGTAGAAACTGTTCAAGATGCTTAGTTTGTTTTCTAAACAGAAATTCACCAATTTTTCTCCATTTTTACTTCTGTTGCCATAACCGTGTCTTCCTATAGTATGCTCCTCGCCTCTTTGGCATACACCAATTTGCCCGTTAAAATCACCCATTAATATTATGTTTTTGTGAGCAGTATCAACAGTTTTTTGTAATTTTTGGTAAAAGTCTTCTATTTTATCTACATCTTCTTTTTTATCTGCTTCAGTTGGTGAGTATGCCTGAATAATTGACCAATATTCATCTTTTCTATTTTGTATGGGAAGTTTAATGTTGAGAATTGCTATTCTTTCAGATATTCCTTTCAATTCTTCTATTCGGTCAGTATAGCTCCGTTTTATCAAAAAACCGACACCATATTGCCCTGGTGTTTCTCCTTTGTAATATAGTATATACTTTCCGTTGTCTTCTATTCCTTCTCCTAATCTTCTCATTTCGCTTATTCCAATAATATCCCATTTAATTTCGTTGATTGCTGTTTCTAATTCAATTAGTTTCTCTGGGGTTCTTAATGATCGTGTGTTAAGCGACGCTATGTGTATGTCACAATTATTTCTCCTTTTTTGTTTATCAAACCTTAGGGGGTGTTGGTCATTTTCCCCCACGATGACCAGTCGGCTTGGGGGAGGGTGTTGCTTTATATTTAATATAAATTATATATATTTAATATAATAATAACATGTAAATATGATTTTATTCTATTCTATTCTATATCGATAACTTCAAATTGACTAAATAGCAATTGTATTGCTAAGCAGGAACATTTAATATTACATGACTCGAATTTAATAATTCTGAATTAAAGATGTATTCAATAATTTCAGATTTTTTAAATCGATATCGTGATAAATTTACCTCTAATAATATCCTAAATAAAATTCATAGAAGCATAATGGTACTCACTGTTGAAGCAGGAATTCTATGGCATCTAGAGCTTCATTTTCCACTGCTACGTGTAAAGGTGTATTTCCAGCATTATCGCGAACACCTAAATCTGAACAAAAATAAATTTTGACATTAGAGGACTCATGGTAGCTTAGAAAGAGAAAGAAAGAAAGATATAGAGAGGGACGTCACGCTGAAATTGCTTATCACTACTTTAAGTGTTTTTCATTGTGATCGGCGGTGAAGGAAAAGTAATAAAGTAATCTGTATCAATGACAAACTGCAAGATTTCAAGGGCATTTGAAGACTAATTTTTCTCCTCTCAATAATCCTATATGAAGTAACGTATGTACTATTGCTTGGCAATTAAATTTACTATAGTATCAAGTAATTAATAATAAATTAATTACATATTCAGCCAACATACTGCTTAAATTGACTAAGAACACTTTTGGTCACAACTGAGTTATAAATACCATCAGAATTAGCTTTTTAAAATCTACGCACCGGTGAAAGTGTGTTTGTAATATTACACTATGTTGGTAATTCAGTCTGTGATTAAAATTTATATTGTATAAAATTATTTTCTGTGTGCTTTTTAGACGATTTTTTGTGGTTACTTCTCCAATAAATAAATTGTATTACCTCATTAAACATTTTTGTGTTTGGATGTTTGGATATAACCTTACGATTTTATTTCTGCATATAGAAACTATATAAATTGACATTGTATTTGTAGTAATTACCTTACCTACCAAGTGTTCTTTGAGTTCAGGTGAAATGGTATTAGTTCGACGCTTACATTGTTAAAAAAAACATTAATGCTAATACTAATAGTATAATTGTATTTGGAAATATAGTTATATTCACGCGCCGCTAGTGGTTCCTACAGGCAATACCGCTTAAGCCTACGTACATGCGTTGTGCTACTGGTAGAACTCAAACTCCAAAAGTCGACGTGAATAAAGCGAGAACGTGATAAGTTGGTCGTTAAAATCTGCTCAAGTTATGTACAAATTGATGGTTGATAGATAAAGAGAATAAATGAACAACAATCCTCACAAAATGTCTATTAAATATTCGAATAACACATTTTATTAAGCTAATGATGTATAATTAGAAACATAGCAAATACAAGTTATATTATTACAAAAAATATCTGGTTATAATAGAATAATTGTAAATAATTTATTGAACGTTGGGCTCCCAAACCGGATGGCTCGTGAAACAGGTAACACTACAGTTTCTTTATCGCGACAAAAATATGTATTGTTTTCTTAAGGAAATTATCCGTTAAAGAGATTTTAAGGAGAAACTTACTTAGAAAATATCGCAAACCTTTTTCTTGGCAATGTAGAGTCTATATAAAGTCTTACATAACAGCTATTTCCTCGAGTTTATGGTTGGAATAACTATCGGGTTTTTTTTTTAAATAGGTCACGGTAATCGGATACATTATTCAGTTCTAAGCAATAAGACTATTATGGATCACTTGTTTCAGATGAGATTAAAATATTACAAGATTTTTTTTCAAGATATTATATTGTTCAATCTTAATAATAATTAATTATTGTTTAATAATTAATTATTGTTTAATCTTAATAATCTTGTTAATCTTTAAATTTATGGCAGTTTCACATAGATTTTTAAAAATTTTACATGAACCAATTCATATGTACCTCTTGGTCAATTATTTGCGACATTTTGCAAAGAAGAAGTATTTTTTGTCTAACCAAGTACATAGTAAAGCTAAGTGCTCACGTAAACAGCGGTAAGTTTTCTAACACTGCTTTTCAATTATCTTCTTTGCGTAACCTTAGGCAACTAATCAAAGTTACATAAGCAGAACTTTAGAAATTCTGTATTTTAAGAATTATTATTCGATAACTGCCATTACTGTCAGATATTTGTTGTATATTATATTTGTAATGTATATCGCATATAACACCTTCTAGCCTTAGTTTTTATGTGATTGTGGAATGAGAAACGTTTTTACTGGGAAACTAAACATACTCTTGTTTCTAATTCAGAGTTGATACTCCGATGAGGTGACACGAAGTTAATATATATGCCATAAGGATTGCTAGTAACTAAATGGATACGTGACTGTTTTAGAATGCATAGCATATTTTTAGGACTTTTTTTGCTAAAAATTCAGACTAGAATAGGAAACGACGTCCAGAAATCGACTCGTCTGCAACTAACATCGCTCCTCTCGCTAAGCTTTGTGACTGTGGTAAATTACCTTACAAACTTACTTTAAGAAAAGCCCACGTTCGGTAAATTAATTTTACTTGGTGGGTTGATTGATGTGTTAAATATAAATTTATATAGGGCTTTCTTTTATTAAAATACCTTGTGATGCTATTAACAAAATTAATATTTTAATTAACACATTAAGTAACCATTGAATTGTTCACTCTGTAGAGACACGATCGTGATTATTCCTTCATATAGTATTCAATAAAAAAAAATTGTCGTCAGAATGGAACGAGTAGGTATGGAAAGTTAAATCTAATAAGCCTAGAGGAAATACAAAATTGAATTGCAAGATTTTGTCTTGATATCTAAACATACATAGGTACATAAAATATTAAAATAAATTATTATTATTATTAGGCATGTTTTGTGAGATACGATATTAAACGAAAAGCTAGTAATCAAAAAGCGCGTTGATTTCGAGAAAGTACTTACCACCACCGTAGTTATTAATGAAGTGCAGGATGTTGGTGTTGTTCTTCGCTGCGGCCTGATGGGCCGGGGTGCGACCGCGCGGATCTCGTACATCCAGTCGTGATGGCTCGCTCAAGTACAGACGCATAAAATCCTCCACATTACCGCTTTCTGCCGCCTGTTTGAAATAACTATTAAGTTCTACGAGAGTAAAAATAAAGTAAAAACCTACATAATTTAAAATTAATCGTTTTGTACAGCCGACTTTAATACAAATTATTAAGAATAACTCAAAAACTGTTGGTCTGACCTTAATCAAATTCATATATGACCACATGTGAAGTACCAGCTTTCGAATATAAAAAGAATCATCGAAATCGGTTCACCCAGTAAAAAGTTATGAGCTAACACATATAAAAATACATACAGTCGAATTGAGTACGTCTCCTTTTTGAAGTCGGCAGAAAATATTACTCGTTGGAGAGAGCAGGTATATCAGGACAAGCTTTAGGAGGTGAATTTGTTTATCTGTTTTTGTTCACTTTAAACAAACTAGTTTTAAATATTATCTAAATATTAAATGAATATTATACAAGATTGGTTATAAAGTGTTATTTGTAATAGTAAAATAATATAATGTAACAGCAATGGACAAATATGTGCGGATAAAGAAAGAAAAATAATTATAAACATTATTTGAGAGTTTTTAAAAGTAATTGACTTTTTTTGTATTTTAAAAGTGCCTTAATTTAATTTGCAGGTTGTTTAGCGAAAGTTTCATTGAACTCTTCATCATATTTCTTTCAAACTTCCAACCTGCCTTACAACCTTACCTCAGAGCTACTTTCTGAACAATATTTGCAGTCTTTTCAAGCATTATCTGAAATTTACTGTTATAGTCGTTACACTGGTTAGGAATCCCCTGTAATGACTTCGAATTCATAGCCCATTAAGAACAAACAATCCTGCGGATCTTGCAGAATTCTATTTCTCCAATATCGACTATAGTAAAAAGGTTAGTTGTAAATAGCCAACTTTAATTGCCAACGTTTCGCCAACAATATTTTTAATTCCACAAGCAATTTCAGTATTTGTCTTATGCATACAAATAGTTAAATGACCAGTAGTTTGAAGATGAAAACATTTTTATAACATCTAAAGGAATAATGTGTTAACGGTCCAACAGTTATCCATACAGTCCAGTAAGCGGCTGCTGTAGTACATAAATACATGCCGTCAAATTCAAATTAAGACGGCTACCGATGCTGTCCCTCTGCTAAGGTCTACGGTAAAAGGTCACAGCCTATAACTGATGATACTTTTCAAAGATATACAAAACAGTGAATACACGATTGCTTAGCGGTATGAATGTGTGAGACGGTGGATTTTATTATTTTCCCAGACGGTATACAATAGATACCATCTGGATGATTGGCAGTCCACCACTGTGCGATTTACAAAAAGTATTCTTCCTCGCACAACTTCCTTGTCGAACCGACTACCACCAGCTATTTTTCCGGACCGATATGACTTAGGGATTTACAAGAAAAGAGTAGTAGACTCCTTTTTAAAAAGCTGGCAACGCATCTGCAATTTCTTTGATGTTGCAGTTGTTGATGGGCGGCGTTAGTCTCTCACCATCAAACTCTCTGCGGCCTGTGCCCATTAGTAACATGTATGTAAGCTGTTACTTTTTAATTTTCATGGGGCAACATATGCAGTTTTTATTTCATTCATATTTTCGGGTATGTTACTTTTTTGTTTTCACTCTACCGTAAATACTAAGGGTTGCAAAGATGAGTAGAACTCATTATCGTCAGCGTATTAAAAGTCCACTAAAATGAATATAGGCCTCCTCCAGAAATTGTCAAGTGGCTGGATATTTGCTATAGTTGCCACGCTTGGTAGGCGGGTTTGCAACCGCAGCTGTTATTATTTTGATCTGTTGTCACGAAGATGATGCTGCCCATCTCCTGTTTGTTTTCTTATGTCGCCTCTTACGACGGTACAATACGAGGTAGCGGATTCTCTTTCACCGCCAAAAGGCGAACATTTTTCTATTCCCGTTCATGAGTGTAGTGCTTCCCACGTTCAGTGTGAATAAAATTTATAAGGAATAAAACTAATTTTAAGGATTTTATCGCGTTTAATTTAAACTTTTTTAATTTCTGATGTTTTGGGCACTTTACAGCACCCATGGTCACGGGAGGACTGAGGTGTTTGACGACCTGATGTCATAGTTAGAATAGAATAGAATAAATGCTTGGGTTTGAATTTAATTTTGTGATATAATATACTTATAATTATGGGGTCCTTAGTAGATAGTATCACTCAGCCATCTTCCCTAATAAAATTTTGATGTTTTTAATTTCAATAGCCTACCGAATCATCATTGGTAGGAATCGACGTTCATGTTGACAAACTTTAGAGTTCCCGGAGCGTCGGTGCTTCACATCAATGATAAGTTCTTTTACGTGGGTTTTTATGGCACTTTCATTTAAAGATGCGTAAAAAACCCCACGTATAAAAAGTTTAAATTAAACGTGATTAAATCCGTAACATTAGTAGTAGTATACTATATATCATTATAGAACTGCATTTACGAAATTTTGAAGGCTACTCAGACGTAAAAAAAATATCTACATCTATTTTATGGTGCCTATCAATATTAGATAGGACCTATGATATAATTAATTGATTAATGAATAAAATATTTCAAAAAAAACATTATTCCGTAAATTGATACAAGATCATGAAATTCATCATTATTTTGTTAAAACTAAATTATTACTAATGAATGTAAAGAGTAAAATGTAAATAATAATAATAAATTTTGGTTCCAAGATAAATGGAATAAAAGAGGTGACACTAAAAGTGATCGAATTTTGCTAAATTTGACACGGAACAGCATTCAGTGATGTTCCTAAATTAAGGCTCACGCGAGCGAAGTCGCGGGTAAAAAGCTAGTTGTATAATATATCTAAGTATCATATAATAAGCTAATGAACGTAACCCGTGTCTTGTAATATCCTACGTCGTAAGACGACTTAGGATACGTTATATCATGATAGTAGTCTATGTGAGTAATAACACTAGAAAAGATATTCATTATAAAAGACGTTGAAGGCCTTCAAGTTAATACTTTGAAAGACTTTGAAGTTGCTTCGATGTTATCAAGTTTCACTTTAGATGAACATCTATCGCTGATGTTGCAATAAGTTACTTGTTAGGATTCCGTACCTCAAAAGGAAAAAACGGAAACAGTATAGGGTTATTTTGATGTCGTTCCGTCCGTCCCTCTATCAAGACCCTTTTTCTCAGGAATAGACATATCAAGTTAAAATTAATATAAAATACCAAAGTCTACAGTTCAACTTATAATTTTTAGCTTTACATTACATAGAAGAATGTTTTTGATATATAAGTATTCACATTTGCATCGACCGTTATGAAGGCCGATGTATTAAAGAACGTTTTTTCCTCCGTACAAAGTTCTCAAAGTTATGTTTGTCCTTCCATCCGACTAAACTTTTAGCAAGAGCAATGTTCGGTGCTTACCTTATCCATAATTTATAAATTTAAGTTAATTATTTTGGTTAAAGTAGATACTGATATACGTCCCTATTGTATATAAATGAATATTGTCTTTGTTAATTATTGGTATCTACAATAGGTAAAAATAACCAGACTCGAATCCCGAGATGGAAGAACTGTTTACATACATAATTAAGTTTATTCGGAACCCCAGGGCGCGAGTGCAGCGTCCTTGTCCGGTTTTTAAACTACAAATGTTTAGTTTCAATCTCGAGTGTAACGGCTGTGTTACATTTAATGTACTAGTATTAACATGGATTTTATACTAATAATTTAAAAACTAAAATAATTGCTGCCCCCTTTCAGGCAAAACGTCTGACAGCATTTCTGATGGTTCATCATCCACATCATAGGATGGGATCCCTTCACAGGTCCACTGTTGAATATAGGCCTCCCCCAAGGAATGTCACAAAGCACGATCCTGAGCCACCTGCATTCATCGACTTCCTGCATATCTTAACAGGTTGTCACTCCATCTAGTGAGGGGGTGCCCTACATTTTGCACCGGTATGAGGTTGCCACTATAGAGCCCGTATTAATAAACGTTACTTAGGTAAAGTACACGCACTTGAGTACAATCTTCAGGTTATGATCTTATTAATAAACATATCTCAAGATGCGGTTTAGGTTTACGATATCAGTTGAGTGCCACACTGATTAATAAACGAAACTCGACTCTCAAGTGTGTGTATCAAGTGCAAGTCACAGAACAGTATTCCTAAGTACAGCGATTTGAGATACTGTTTTATGTGTTTATTATAGATCTTGAGATGCTGATATCGTAATGAGGGCGTATCAAATGATTACGCACTTGAGTTCGTCGTTGAGTAACGTTTATCAATACGGGCCTAGAACTACTTTAACCACTCTCTGATGGTTATGAGTCAGAAAATAGCTCATCGCGCTGCTCTCTGCATATTGACGGACGTCACATGTCATGTGTTATAAAAATTAAATATTTTAATTTAATTTTTATAACATATTAAACGTGCAGAATAAGCTATAGGTTTCTTCAAGTTGTTTTACCATATGTAAACAGCTCTAAAAATAAGTATTCAGGAATACTTGAACATTGTTTTAAACTAATTTAAGAGCAAACAAGACTTACATACGCATAGCACAGGTTAATGCTATTTGTCTCTGTCGGTTCGACCGACCGATTCCAGTTTACTGACCACGCGACGGTGAAACTAATCTAGATTTATTTGTTTTCCCAGGTATTATAAGATAATTTCAAAACCTTAAGTGACAAATATTCAAATAAAACAAAAGCAGTGAAAATGACAAATTGGAAGTATCTTGTTTTTGTGGAATTTTCAACAACTTTTTAATTTATTACAGGAAGATTTGAAACAACTTATATTTTATCAACTTAAATTCATATTAAAAACTCAGGCGTTATCTTGCTGAATATCTATTATATTAAATATGTTACAAAAGAAATTTCATCATCATTATATTCCTTTGATGGATATATTATAATCTCCTCTTCTTTGTGTGAGTGTTTTTGAGGAGAGAAGAGTCCGCCACACAATCTTAATGCGTCGGTCGCACTTTATATGCTCTATATCTAATACATTGTAT